GACCACGATCATCCCAGGAGCCTGAAGAAAGAACTTTTGAGGAATCAAATGAGTCAGTAAATTTGCAACCACCTAGTCCAACTGCCTCAGCACTGAAACGGGATTGGGAAAGAACTAAGCATCAAGATGAATCTTCAAGTGATTCTGGTGAGTTAATTCTGAAGCTGGAATCTGAGGACATTGGTGAGGAGGAAACTGAATCTAGGGACTCGAACCATGCTGAAACAGAAAGTAAAGACACTAAAGGAAAGGGAACTGCAAATGTTGGTGATAGCGAATTGGAGGCTTCTGTGAAGGGCAACAGCCATGCCAAACAATCCCCAAGCAGTATCAGAAAAAGGACATATCCTAGTGATGACAGCAGTGGTGATGACAGTGATAATGTACCTCTTATAAAGAAGGTACGCCGGGACTCTGAGATATCTCTTCATTACAATGAAGATGATGATGATGAAACAGGTCTGACCAATGGAGATACATCTGTTCTGGGAACTGATGGGCAGTGAGCAAGTGCTGCATACGAACTTTTAATTTTAATGGTTTGTACTAATGAATTATAAATTGTTTTTGTCTTATTGTTAGTGTGTCATCATTTAATTCTGTAACTTCTAATGTGAAAATGAATATTATAAAATAGAAGTGATGTCAAAAGTTGTGGGGGTGATATGGTAATAAAGTGTAAATTTTTTTAACTTTTGTTGTAAGGTCAGTCATAATACTATCCTTTGTTAACCCTTGCACTGTGCATTATTTTTTCCCAGCTTTGCTAAAATGTCATTTTAAGGTAAAAATTTGAAGTCATTATGAGGGTCTGGTGATTTTGTATGTATATAAATAAAAACCATAAAAATTACCAACACACCAATTATATACTCAGTATATATAACATACAATACACTTTTTACAAACTTGTATAACCACTTAAAATTGAGATATGCCACAAGTGTCAAAATCAAACTTGCAATAGCATCCCTGCAACATTATTGACAAATTTAAATTGTTCAAATTAGATCGCAGCCCAACAATATCACAATATCATAACTAAGGGAGTAGAATCAAATGTTGCAGTATGCACAGGAATCTGACTAAAGTAGAATGTAGCAGCATAAGGGTTAACAGAATAAGTCAATGTTTCTCAATATTTCCCTTATGGCATCACATTAAAATACAGTTCAATAACTTACAGCACTCCAAATTATGTATTATTGTAAAGGTGTATGTATGTATGGTGAACAGACTATTCAAAGAAAAAAGTTAACATTAGCAACATTTTAGAACGGAGTAATAGATAATGGGTACTGCTATAGAAAACTGAGTTGCCAGGTCGTCCTCACATTGGAATGTTTAATACCATAGTCCATCCCAAACATGTGACATTTAGTTTGATAACAATGTGAACTGCAAACCAATTCCACCTCAAATATATACATATCTGTATATATTTAATAGCTAGAGAATGGCTGGATGGAAACTCATAAAACTTGGTATGGACTGTGTCATGGGTCACTACTCCAAACTCTTATTTTCTAACCTCTTATCTCTGAAACAACTTAATAACTGATACTGAAAGTCACAAGACTGAATGACCCCATTAACCATGATCCTTGGTGCATGTACATTATTAAACTAACTATACCTAAGCAGACCTCTTCACCTATGTTGATTGCCTGTATACATTTCATTAGTGGCTATATTAACATTTATAGAATAAATAACACTTAATTATACGCATAAGATTGTTGTCTAAAATGCCGAGAGATTTACAGATCATTGAATAACAGTAGATGCTCTGTATAGGGAATATTTTAATTTTTCTTAGCTTTTGAGTTTGCTTAAACTATTATTCTGGCTATCATTATTACTGTTAGGTATTTAACTTTACAGATATATTTTTTCAATACTCACCTGACTTCAAATAACCATTTATTGGCTTTTCACTGTATGTAAGGACATCGGCTGTTGCACCTAGAGGTGCTATTGGAAACGGGAAACTTTCCATTCTGTAACATCTCTTAAATGAAGACAAGTGATGGAATAATATCACAGTAGGAAAATTTATTTTAAATCTAACTTTAACAATACCACTCATAAGAACATTTTAATCAATACTGGTTCATAATGTCTTAACAAACTTTTATCTAACATCTGTTGATTAAATTATGCTAATTATCATAGTAAACAGTACAAGAAATGAAACATGTCAACTTGGTATACTAAAACACTGCAAGTGAATCATAATATAGAGCAAGACATTGAAAAAACTATCCCCCAACTCACTTGAGCATGCTTTACTTTACTTTACTTTGGAGATACAGTTTTACTGGCATTTCATTGTATGTGTAAAGCCAACGTAACAGGAGAAACATTTCCTGTTTGAAAAATAACCAATTGATGTTTAAAATATGTTGTTAAATGTGATAGCGAGTCTATATAACATTAAAGCAGTGAAATTATAGTGAACACTGACAAAAAATGAACCGAAATGTAACTTGATAAAACAAAAGAATGCTGCAGTACAGACATTTGTTGATGATTAAAAATTAAACTTGTCATAGCAAGGTGATACCATTGATATGAAGCTCAAATTATATATCAACAAAAGCTTCTTCACTTTGCATCATTCTTCTTAAAACAAATTAATCACTTGATAATCTCATCTTATATTAATACTTTACTAGAAGAGGACAGCTTTTTGTTCACTTTGCTGAGTATCTCATAAGAATATTGTTCAAGTACATTATCCTCTGGGGATGTTTCATCTATTGTGTACTTCAGGGCAGTATAGAAGGCTTTAGCTTCAGCATTGTGTTTCAGTACTGTAAGAATTACTTTCTTCATGCCAGCAGAAAACCCAATCAGTTCCAATACTTGTAGCATGAACTTACCCAACCCTTTCCTGCGCACCTCTTCCTCTAATTGTAGTTCATAACAATAAAGAACTTCATCCCCATAGTCCATATCAAAACGAAAATGTGAAAATGCAACTGGTTTGCATTCTGGTTCGGTAGTTCGTGCAATAAGATACCATGCCTTGTCGTCTGTCATCTCTTCTTTCTTTATCTTGTCATTCCACCCCCACTCACATTGTTCATACAAAGCTTTCATATTCCTCTTCTCTAGATCAAAGATCCAATGAATTGTACCCACATCTAAGGAGCCACATCGTTTGCATTCAAGCTTGACATTAATGCCATTCTTTTCGAATATTCTGAATTCTGAGAAATGAGCCATAGGATCGTCCTGATTATTTGCCTTGTACAAAACTATCTCTGAAGTAGGCTGACAAGCATTTTCTTCTTTACGTTTTTGTCTTTTCTCTTTATTTCTCTTAGATTTGCGTTCCATTATTGCACAAACTATCAAATGCTTAAATATATATTTTTAAATAACAAGAAATCGTCAATTTTCAACTGCCAAATGCCCCAGCAAACAAATCCCGGGAATGATGTACCAACTGTGACATCCATAACATTTTTTTGTGTTAAATGTGAATTTTATTTACAGCCTTCGTTCCTGCGTTGAATTTATTACAATATGAATTTTTAAAACTCTATGAATTCCATAGCAATATGCGAAGTAAAGTCAGACATCTTTCTTGTGTTTTAAGAACCTTTGGGTTGGCTATAGAAATCTTGTAGCCAATCTTATGCAGTGAAATTCCGTTCTGATGCTATGAAGAGCATTGGTAACACGAATCACAGATAAACATGAACCAAAAGGAAACCCACATTATGTGAAACAATTTTGCCCCAAGGTTTGGAGGGGGTACAAACATTTGCGACACATTCACAGTAATGTAGCTACTAGAGGTACAAGCTACACAGGAAAGATATGCTAGTAACCATTTAAACCAAACAGGACGAAGCTGCGATTGTTTGTGTATTTCGTGTTAGATATTATCTATGTATATCATTTGTGGCACCGCCTTTGCACCACGTTTGGTTGTTTGGTTAGGTATGTATGGTTTCTGCTCAGATCTTCGTTAACCTACAAATATGCTAAATTTGCAATAGTTTTATTAACAGCAGCATATAGATTGCTTAGTATACTCTATTTTATTAATTGGCACTATCTTTTGTTCTGTGACTTTTATGCGTTTTGGAATTTTTTTTATTAAAGTGACATTGTGGTTATGCTATTGTATTCGTGGTTTTCTTCTTATTTGTAGTTGCAATCAATTTACTATGCATGATGTGACCTTTAATCAGTTATTTCAATTTACTTGCAGCTGGTCATGATAATTTCATGTATTCACCATTCCTCTGCCAACGCAACATGAGTTAGATAAGAGTTGTAATATAAAGGAACATTTCATCTTAAGGTGAGTTCCATTAACATGCCAAGCTGAACAGTTACTTATGTGAAATAAAAATTTGTAATTAATCAGAGTAGTGAAAATTTCAAAATTATCAGTTTGATGTACTAATATGCATTATGGTATTAGTATTGTGTTAGGTTTCATGTCAACAACGTTGCTGACTTTTTTAATCCTACTACTATAATATGCTTTTGTTGCTTGATATATTTAATCTTTGAGGTCTTTTGTTGGGCGTTTATGGAAATTTTTAATGTGGGTCTGTATTATGACATGGTATGGTCTAGTTTGTAAGCAGGTACAAGACCACATGGCGCTATAACCTAGAAGACCTTGATTGTTATTTTTACTACTGTGATAACCTCAAATCTCAGAATCATGGAAGTCATGTTCTGGTCAATGTCAGATTCAGTTCAACAATTCAAACTATGTTTAAATAAAAGGAAAAAATGTGTTATGATTTATTGTGTAGAAAGAAATTATCTGATGTGCTGCTTATTCTAGTATTCATTAAGCCCAGCTCTTTTCAAATTCATACTGAAAAATAATATATACCTGATAGGTTTAATCCTAAAAGTAAAATGGCCCTTAAGGCTGTGAACGTGTATGTGGGGTATGGACATACAGCTCCAAACAGTCCAGATCTTGGCATTATGTGTGAGTGACCAGCTCCATTCTTTATCTTTCTGTGTAAAACAATTCCACTATCTTTTGGATAGAAAAATGGATGGACTTCATAGTTGGTCAAGATGTGGTGTCAAAGAGGAAAATTGTTGTTCTTGCTGGAAACAAACCTGGATGTTCATCCAGCAGATAGTCACTTCACTGACAGCTGTTCTTTTAAATCCTAGTGTGTTTTATATTCTACCTAGCACATTTCCCATAATAATGATATAATGTTGTTTCTTACAGTTCTAATCATTTTCAAAATGGACAGTTTTGATGCTACATACAGTGACAGTAGTGACCATGAGATAAATGAAGCACAGCATTCCACTTTGTTAGCTGCTGTGTCTGAGCTTGATGTTAAACAACGGTATGTTTTATATGGACTTTGTTGAAGAAGAGTAGCTTGATAGTAGGGGTCACCAAAATTTCTGAGACAGTCATTAATGTACAATAGAAAAAAGCAAGGATAAAGTATTTAGCCTCATGAAACTGAGAAAGCATTGTTAAATAATCAAAGAAACAGTAGTGTGAACCAGCTTAAAATAATGTCTGATGGTTGATTTTTTATTATGGTTATGAACCTGTGAGTTCTCAGGAGTTTCTGGACCAGTTGAATGTCTGTTACTTGCTTAGGGAAATCGTGATCCATTCCATTCAATTAGTTTGTATCAGCTACTGATGAATGTAGAGGATGATACAAAGGGATGGTGGAGGAAGTAGATATGGCCTATTTCTAGGTACTGGTATTGTCCTTGCTTCTTTCTGACTGCTGAAAGGAGTGAACTAAACTCTTTTGATGTCTGGTTTCCAAATTAAATTCAAGGACTTTATGCATGCATGCATGTCACATGTAATGCCACACATCTGACTTTTTCAGGGTTGGTTTCTGTGATTGTTTAAATTTATATTATTTTAAAACATTTAAACATTTTAATTGTTGTGTGTTATAGAGTAAAACCACCAAGTCGTAAAGAATCAAGTTTTAGAGTGTCAGAGTTCCACCTTGGGAAGGGTGATGCTGACAAAAATACTGTTTTTATAAGGAACTTGACAAAGTCTTTGGGTCAGCAAGGTAGTCATGCTGTAATCACCAAACAGTTGCGTTCGATTCATCACAATACACGGACTCTCCCACGTCCATTAGAAAAAACTGTTGCTGCGAGGGTAAAGTATATTTTGTAGTTAGTATATACAATACTATCACTGTGTTGTAATGTTTGTGGATTACTTGATGTTAAGCCTTTGCCTTTTGCTAAACCATCTAAAGTGAGGCTTTATTTAACATGGATTTAGTTCTCATGAATGATCTATATCATAATCACTTTTGTCATCTGGAAGTTCTATTTCAGTAATTATTTTATGTATATTTTCAGCAATAAGGTTTCTTTCATGCTACCATGGTTTCAGCAAATATCCAACTTTGTTCTGATTTAGTTTATAATTTTCCAATTATAATGAATAGCCATGGATAACAATGTGTTTCAAGCAGACGTATGTGTTTATTCATGCTGGTTGAAATAAAGTTGGAAAAACCATGTATTAATTTTCTGTGGCATATGTATAGGATAACCAGAGGCAGTCTTAGAAGAAAGAAAATATGGTTCAAGATATAAAATTTATATTTACAAGAGCATTTGTATTAATTGGACTGTGTGATACATTGATTATCTTAGTACCACACACCATGATATAATTTCCATCATGTTTTACATGGCAGCTTAATTTACGCCATTTATCTAATTTTAAATAAGAAAATATAACATTATTACTGATTATAGTGGTCACATAGTACAAAGTGTATGCAGCCTTGGATTGTTCAGATAATGTGATTACATTTCAAATTCCGCTCTGGGAATGGACAGTGTCCATGTTTCCCTCCCTCCTCCCCTGTTATGGGTATTCCAAGGAATTTAAAGTGTTCATAAAGGTTTCTTTGTTTTTTTTTCAACTCAAGAAAACATTATTTATAAACTTTTTGTTATTTTGATTGATTTAATATGATCTTGTGCACTACTAATTTCTGCATGTATTCATGTTGTCCTCACATGCATCAACCAACAAAAGGCCTATGTGCAGAAGGCATATAATATGGTGTAGTATAACATTTACAGTTTCATTCCAGATTCAACGTTCAGTTGGGTTTAAAAACGTAAAATCTCAGTTGGGTCGTTGGGATGCTGTTGTGTACAGCAATCAGGCTGCCAGTCAACTTTCCTTTCCATTGAAACAGTCCACTGTTACTTTCCAAACAGTAAATGATTTTGTTTCAAAGTTGAAGGTAAGTTTAAATTTAGTTATCATGTATTGACTTGGATGTGTGGGTCACCAGTTTATGCCACATTTGAGGAATTCTGAATAGAAAGGTGCAAGTTTGAAAAATGCACGTTTTGAGAAAAGAAACTTCCAACATTTGAGAACATAAAAGATTTTTGACTATTTATGTCTGTGAAGTGTGGCTGATAAAGAGAAAAGTGCAGATTAATTCTGTGCTGTGAGAAATCCAGTGTTACTAGTATTTCATGCAGATAATTGAGGTTTCTAGCTAAGGTCTCTCCAAGAAGCAAATGGAATGAAGGAAAATAGATTTTCTGAATGTACTTTTCTTGCAGTCGCAAACAAGGACCTCTCTGGAGCAACAGATGGATGAAATTTTAAACAACAGCCCAGTTGTGCAGGAAGAAAGAAAGGTGTGTTTGTCTTTCAGAGTGTTTAATATATTTTATGTGACCAAGCATGGAAAATTTATTCTAGCTGAATTTAGCACACAGATGAACTACCAAGAATTATTATTTTACGTATTCAGTTCTCTTGCCTATATAAATTAAAGTATTTGAAAGAAAGTATATATAATAGTTCCATATGGGCTTTTGTACTAAATAACTGGAGAATTTGGTTTCTAAGTACGGGATGGAATAACTAACTTAATGAAGCAAGGTCCTTCATGAAAAACTGGTAGTTACATAGGTAAACAATAAATATTTTGCTTTTATGGAATCTGCAGTTCCATTTCACTGTTCATTAGAGCCTCACACTGGAACCTATCCTAATCCAATAGAATTCCATCCACACCCTGTTTCCATAAAATCTGTTTCAGTGTTATTCTCCTATTTATTTCTAGACCTCCAAAGTGATGTCTTCCCTTCAGTTGGTGAAGTGTGTAAATTATGAATCCAACAGTTTGACAGTAAATTCATCTATGTTGTCAGTTCATGTAGATGGATTTACTGTAAAATTGAAATGTTCCAACATGAAGTTTCATTTTATGATTTTCTCCATTATCAAGAAAATATGTGTTAGATTTATTGTATTATGTTTCTAAATAGGAAGAAGAGTATCAATTGAGTTTAGCTGAGATGTGTGAGCGTCGCCGAGAGATGGCTAGATTGCGTGCACAGCAGTCGTACATGGCCTCTAAGGCCAGTAGGCAGAAGAAGATCAAGAGCAAGAAGTGAGAGTCAGATTTTGAGGACACTAATTACTCCCCCTCCCATTGTCCGTGGTTATGGTCTTTAAATATTCTGTCTCTCTATAAACAAGGTTGAAGGAAGTGTCTTCTGAGATCATAGACACTGTAGGGCAGAATTCTGCTTATCCATAGTGATGGGTATGATGTTCTCTGATCACATTTACAACAATGACCATATGTACCATTGTTAAATTTGTTATTCCCTTGGTTGCCCTGCTGATATCATTGCATGTGATGGGGCATGAAGTGCAAATTTAGTGCACCCATGATGGTTGTAGGATATGAGGTTGTCATGGTGGTGAGTACAAAGATGATCGACTTCTGAGTTCTAGTGCCGGGATGTCTAGTGGAAGTTAACCAATATTTCAGAGGTCCTTGCTGCCTCCATCATATGAGCAATCACCCTGAATTATTGGTAACTGTACTGCATTGTGCTACAACCCAGAAGACAGACATCTTTCTATGATTGCTGGTGTGACTGAGGAGACTGCACATATGCTCCAAGCCATAATGGAACCTGGTGTGTCACTGAACCCTTAAAATGTGTACTTTGTCATTCATGTGGGATGTGAAAACATGCAAAAATATGGGTGTCATATCTAAACCTCTAATGTTTTACGTGGGAATCCACTGCTTAGTTTCTGAATAATTGTCTGTGGCTGGATGTCAGCTAAAATGGACATCCAAAAGTTATCTTTTATTTCTCAGTGTTCTCATGTGTTGTGTGGCAAAAGAAAGAGGATATATTTTTTGTTTGACTAAATATAACTTATATGTCACAGGTATCACCGAATCCTGCGGCGTGAACGTATTCGACAACAGTTGAAGGATTTTGAAGTACTTCAGAAAACAGATCCTGAAGCTGCATTGCAACAGCTTGAGCTGTTGGAACGCACTCGTGCAGAGGAACGAGTGTCACTGCGACACCGCAGTACGGGTCAGTGGGCAAGGAACAAGGCTGTGAGAGCAAAATATAATAAAGAGGTAAGCATTCTTGTTCAGTATCACCCTAGCATTCGTTAGCAATTGTCAAAAGCCCAGGTGCAGAATGTGATTATGAAGACTTAATTACAGTAAAACCATAGTATATGGAAAAGTTCTTCTACCCAGAGATTATAACTAATGTAAAATTGTGACATTTAATTCCCAGCAGGACGGAATTTTTCTTTTCACCATAAAATCGATGCCAATTCTGGGGCACACCCAGCCTTCTATGCTATGATTGCTGCAGTTGCTCTCTCTAGTGTAGTGTTTTTCAACCTAAGCCAATGTTGAGTGGTACACAAACTGAGTAAGAAAATCAAAAGATAATATATAAGTTTTCCCTGAACACATTTTGTTAATGGTACATTTGATGTGATAAATTATAATTAGTGGTACACCAGCGAAAAAGGGTGAGAACCCCTGCTCCAGTGTAAAGCTTCTGGGACATGGTGCTTATCACTCACCTCTGTCCAGTGTTGAGGTTAAGAATGGGTTGCATTACATGGTTCTTTGATAAATACCAGGGACAGCTTTACCTG